ACGGCCCCGGAGGCGCCACTGCTTTCAACTCCGCCGGGAAGGTCACCAGCCGTTTGGTAGCGTATGTTTATCAGCTCGCGACTGCTTCTGCGCAGAGCTGATAAGACGAGCGGACGAGACGACGGTGAGTTAAACAAGGTTTATGTACAGCATATTTACAGAGGCGTTACAATTTCGGCACTGGGGCCGACAGAGACTCGAAGAGCCGAGCTCTCCTCTCTAACACATAGGTCAGCCTTTCGCCTAAGACCGCTGACTCACACACATGTCGGCACTCCGACACGGGGACGCCTCTCACATAGGACCGCCGATCGCGACGCGCCGCAGGGCTTCTTTTATTTACACCGGGTCCAACCAAAATGTCCAATCAGAAGCGCCGCTGGTCGTCAGGGCAGATTCCGCCAATGGGGGTCGCCGCGCCATGCGTCAGACCACCCGACACGCGGACGCCGGCTCGCTGTCACGCGCGCAGCTGACTCAACGCACGTGGGCCAGGGAGGCGCCGCGCGTGTTCACTCCGTCGAGTTGATCGCGCCAGGCGACTGCGGGCTGGCCTTGACCCAGATTGCCTTTTTCAGAGGCACGGTCGTTTGACGAGGACTCGCTGGCATAACACCCCTTTCCTTTCTTTTTAATCTTTCAGAACATTTAGAGTGCTATGTAGGCGACCCACCTTTGATTGTGACAAACTAGCCTGTGTGTTCACGAGCGTGCTTTAAGAGATAATACGGCCCTGTAGACGTTGAAAATCACTAATCAAACTCTCACAGTAACAATCTGTGTAAGGTTTCATAGAAAAAAATTAACAGCATATGCACAGAGTTAATGACGATGTTAGGGGCGGAGTTTTCAGGCTATCAGTTCGACTATCTGTCTCTCTGACTGCCTGCCTGCCTGCCTACCTGCCTGCATGCCTGCCTTCCTGTCTGTCTGTGTCTGTCTGTCTGTCTGTCTGTCTGTCTGTCTGTCCACCATCCTATCAAACTCCTACCAGACTAAACCACATGCAACTCGCGTCCCCACCATCTTGTAATCCCTTCATGTGATCATAATGATGATGATAATATTCGTGGTCGTCCCTTTTATATCAGGTAGGCACCTTGTGGTATCCTGACCGGAACGATAAAATAAATGAATTATCCAAAAATTACTCATCACACAGTTACAATAGGTCCATGAACATCACAACTGTTCACAGTCACCCCGACTCCCACAAAAAAAAAAATTGCAACATCTCTACGGGGTGAATGATGCAAAGTGGGACGAAGCATCCGTTCGTCCATTCGTTCTTGCTTCCGTCCGTCCTTGCGTCCGTCTGTGTGACCATCCATGCGTCCATCCGCCCGTCCGTGTGTGCGTCTGTTCGTGCGTCCGCACGTCCATTCGTGCGTCCATCCCTGCGTTCGTCCATGCATCCGCCCCTGCGTCCGTCCATGCGTTCATCCGTCCATACAGCCATCCGTGCGTCCGTCCATACATCTGTCTATGTGTCCGTTTGGCCATCTATTCAACACTCAAAGTACCACCATCTCGCAACTTTTCATCCTATATTCCTCATATAGAAGCAACGCCATCCAGCGGACATTCCAAGGACTAAACGAGAGGTGGCACACGCACACTTTCTTACGGTTTGCGCTTCGTGTCTACTTCCCACCTTTAACCACGTGGAGTTCATGGTATATACTAGTTCACTGCCAGTATTCATTGCACTGCAGCCCAACGCTCGCTAAACCTTTCTAAAACCAAAGAGGTTACGCCCAGCGAGTATAACGTAGCAACTCTTTCTTGTCAGATAGTGCTCAATGTACATGCTAATGACTGCTAATGGGTAATGAGAGACAGGAGAACTCGACTTTTAGTTAACGCACACGCTGCGATTTTTTTTATTGTTCAACAACGCACAGGAGAAGTCTCCCACTGGCACCGCATTGCAGGTCGAAGGGTAAAACATGTTACGCACTACTACGAGGGACGAACGGGTGCCAGTTTAAGGAGCTGCACCCCTAAAAAACCTTGCTTTTGTTATTGATGTTGCTGTCATTGGGTGTACATTGGCGGCTCGGCTACTGCTTCCATCCGGTGCGCCGCAGCCATCCACGAAGCCAAGCGCCTCAGGAAGTGTGGTGGCATCTGGTTGATGACGTGACATACGTTTGCACTGGAGCACATTGTGTTCAATGTTTTCATTGTCATCGCATGCCATGCACTGCACAGTACTGTCAGCGAACAACGGATCAAAGTGACGACAATACACTTTAGTTCAGAGTGCTCCAGCCCGGACCTCAAATAGCAGGGCGTTGCCGACACTGCTACAGTGCCGCGCCATCTGGTGAACAATGTGAAAAGTAAGGGGTGACTACCACGGAGGATGGACTGAGCCACAGCGCAAGAGTTTTCACCCGTAAAACCTAACTTTAGATGATTTACGTGAGAAATACAGTTACTGCAAGAGTGGGTAATTGGATGAACATCTGAGTTAATTGCACTGGCAGGCAACTCCACATTTCATGTCTTACGCTAAGCAAGAATGTTTCATGGCTCTGGTACTACCGACACTTTTTCCTCTCGTTTAATGCAGTGCTTTCACGGCAATAGCACCAATTTCACTAGAATAAAAAATTACGCGCCTTGTTGTGTTAATAATCACACTCTATCAGCACTTCAAGTGAGGCTCAATTAACCCCGCCTTGACTTATTCGGGATCAATGGGAGCAGCGATATTTTGAAAGCATGATTTGGACAACTCGGACGATTTACCAGTAGATAGATAGATAGATAGATAGATAGATAGATAGATAGATAGATAGATAGATAGATAGATAGATAGATAGATAGATAGATAGATAGATAGATAGATAGATAGATAGATAGATAGATAGATAGATAGATATAGATAGATAGATAGATAGATAGATAGATAGATAGATAGATAGATAGATAGATAGATAGATAGATAGATAGATAGATAGATAGATAGATAGATAGATAGATAGATAGATAGATAGATAGATAGATAGATTTCTCGTTTGCCAATGTACACAGTGGTGAAGGAAAAAGGAGAACGAAGGTACTTATAACAAAGGCAGAATGTAGGCGTGCTGAAAAAGAATAGAGAACTACAGAGATAAACCTTGTAAAGGGCGATAACTGTGCAATATCTTCATACAAACTCTCGAATGTCAATGGTGATTAAGTGTTTTTGTCGACATCAAGGATCGCGGTGCACTAACGCGACATGAAGAAAATGAAAGTGATGTGCACCCCACTGGTGCTCTGCTCTTAGAGTTTACAGACCATAAAGAGAAAGGCGATTCTGAGAAACTGCGATATAATAGTGATATGGCCTTTTATGGAAACTGTGTGGCACAAAAAGACGGGAACGGGGACTAGAAATGTGATTGGAAGAAATGGTAAGGGCACCAAGTCCAAGCTTTTTTTATTGCCTTCCTCTCTTTGCAATTACTTCAATTACTTTATTATCTCCACAGTAATGTCACTTTTGTAGTGCCTTTCTGAGAGACGATTAGTTACTGGTTAATATGTATTTAGTGTTGTTATTTGTATATTTAAAAAACGTGGGAAGATAAGTGCGACGTTATAACCGGCTATTACATCGGATTGCTGAAGGAATAAACAAAAAGATTAAAAGTTCGAACAGATAAAATAATAAATAAGTAATAAGAAGCCCTATTTACGCTTACAATATGTGCACTATGGAGAATAAGCAGACTTCCAAAGCATAGTTTGATACATTATTCTGCATTGTGATTTTATGTTTACTACAAAAGCATTGGCAACAGCATCAACATTTCTTTGGCTTCGTCCACGTTCCTACACTGTTCATGTCTTGATATAAACAACACACGATTTGTTGACATCATCAATTTTAGTTTAAACAGCAAAACTTCGTTCTCTGGGCTGCCTACTGGAATAAGAGAAATTTCACCATATTATATAGGAAGGTTCAGAATGTTTACATGCTTCCTCGTGTACTGAATACAGTGACGAAACCAATCTTTGTGACCAACTTGAATTTATTAGACGCTTGCTTCATACTTTGCCTATTTTTAATGCTCCACATACGATATATGAACACGCTCAGATTTTCCTTCTCTTCCCTCTCTCTTATCTTTCTTGTCCCCTTCCCTAACCCCCAATGTAGGGTAGGCAATCGAATATGTTTCTGGTTAACCTCCCTGCCTTCTCCCTTTTGTTCCTTTCTTCCTTCCTCAGGTTTAAAACAGGCTGCGTTTATATCGCATCATTTATATTGTATAGCGCAACGAATCAACGGTACAAAAGAAAGACATACACAAAACAGAGCTCCAACTTTCAACAATTAAACTCACTTTTTTTTTCACGGAATGAATACAAAAACATAAAATGCGGTAGAGCAAGCGACAGAAGACAACTAATGAAGAACAAACAAAATTGCGCAAAGAGATTTTAAAACACCATTGTCAAGCTACCTAGTTCCATTTTAACAAAGGTAATAAAGATCATTGTTGAAATTTAGCGCCATGTTGTAAGTGTATCTCGTATTCCGTCAATGCCTAGCACTACACAATGTACAGGATATACATATAGTTGTTGCGATTATTTTCCTCTTCTTATTATTCTCTTATTTGTTCTATTTTTTAATGTTTTTGTGTGGTTCTTCAATACTAAAATCATGTTGATAGTATAGCTGGCTCTGACGTAGGCTACCTCATCAGGCTTTCAAGCGGGGAGTGTTTTAGTGTCCCGTACTGTCGTATGCTGCCATCGTATCCTGTCGGTGCCATAGAGTTTCCTAAAATTAACTTGAGGGGGCTCTGGCGCTGCGATCATTCAGCTACCATGAGAATAATTAGTAAGAGATGAATTTGTCTAATTTCCATGGTGGCTGAAGCGCCTTGCGTTGAAGCTCCCATAGACACTAGCACCATAGTTCCCACTAGTGTATGTATATAAAACTAGATGGTCGGCCCATCTCATGTGATTTGGCGTAACTCTAGATCATGACCAGCAAGATGGCGGCGCCCGACCCCGTGGAGGTCATGCGCTACCAAAACCACTTGCGCGGTTCGAACGCCAGGGTGCACTTTCCCGGGGGTGAAGAGTAGCCATCTATGGAATGGTCATGCATAGCAGATAAGTGAGGGTGAAAAGGGGGGAAACAAGGAAAGGGGGGTCGAGTAGAAAAGGAGCGTACTGTCAGCTCATGTCATTGTTTGGCGTTACACCAACAAAACCATGAATGAGCATTGCGGATGATAGCAAGGGGGTGGAAAAACGGAAATGCGAGTGACGAGAGAAACAAGGAAGGAAAAGAGTAGAGCCTAAACTAGGCAGCGTAAAACGTCACGCAGGCGAGACCATGTATGAGATAGCCATGTGACCATAGCCATGGTAAGGGTGCTGGAAAGAGAAATGTGGGTGAGGAAGAAGGCAGAGCATGGCATAGCCAGTGTATAGTATGAATATATACAAAGAGAGATGTTGCGGAAGGGTGAAGACGCAACTTCTGCAGCCCTAGTTGGGAGAACGGCTAAGCGCTGATAGCAACTGGAAGGAAAAGTGAAATTAGAGTGAGGCGAGGTGACGTAAGAGAAAGGAGGAAGAAGATGAGGTGAGGAGGGGAGACATTGTCATAACATCACAAATGAGGCTTTCTTTTACCTCCATAAAGACAAAGCTGGCTGCACTTATTAGAACGCCGCGTCTCTCATAATCATATGGTGGTTTTGGGACATAAAACTCCTCATATCAATCACTCAGTCTTATTAGAACGCCAGGGCGCGCGTTGCCGGGAACGCAATCGTCGATGAAGGAACGCATATCTTGCCGTTACGCTTACAGGTGCGTTCATCCCGTGTACTTTGGTTCATCCTGTCTACTCTGTTGTCTCGTCCCAAAGGGCAGTTTGAGACTCTTCTTGAGTTCATCTCAAAAGGAGAGGCGAGCCAGTCTTCCGCACTTGCTACAACTTTCAGGTTGAGTGCAACTGCATACTTTATTTTTGTCAATAAAAAGAAAAGCAAAAAAAGGAAGCATGCTTGAAGAGACACTGCTTCGAAACAGCAGCGGAGATTGGATCGACGAAGATTCCCTCCATTCTTAGAAAAAAGCCATAGCAGAAGAAAAGGAAAATAAATTGTGCTGTTTCTTAGGAGTAGTAGGTTCGGTGAAAGCGTGAGTGATGAATGTTACATTGAAGGAAAGGATAAATTGCTACGTGTCTACTGCGAGCATCGATTAGTTTGGAGTGTCGTATCTCTCCCACGAGAGACTTCTCAGCGCATGCAGCACGAGGCTTGCAGACAAGGATGGACAGAGTGGGCCTTTGTTTTCATCAGAAACCCATTATTTATTTAGTTTTGCATAATGCTCCATAGTCCTTGTACCAAAGTAATCGTGTGATGAGTCGCTTATACAGATAAGACCACCATGATCTTCTTTCTGTGTGAATACGGTAATGAAGTACTGCGTGCTATCACACTGCATATCAAGATTTTTCTCCTGCGTTTTAACTGGGTCGTAGAAGTGTCGCTTTGAATATATTGAGGCAGAAAGAACTTCTGGTAATGCACTTGTTTGAGTTATAAGTAAACAACAAGTAAATAAATAAACCTAGTATCATCACCAGTTTAAATGCACCCACTGCAGGGCAAAAAGCCTCTCCCATAATTTGTCAGTTAACACGCTCCTGTGTCGGAAACCATCATGTTATAGTTTTAAACTTATTCTCATCCACGTAGCTAATTTTGTACCGTCCTCTCACACGCTTGCACTTATCAACAAACACAGAGCAAAGGGATAGGCAAGTGAATAAATATTTGCACGTCCTAACGCAACCTTTGAGGCTTTACGTTGTTGGTATTGAAGTTTACCTTAATTACTCTCTCTGCATCTTGCGCTGCTTAGTCTCTCTGCTATGTCAGTCTTCAAGATGAGGCTGTCGCCTTACACAACTCCGCATGTACACTCGCACACATCGAATGAAATACGATAGTTATAGCGCGAGAACACAAAGACGACAAAGAGACAAGAAGGACACGTGTCCTTCTTGTCTCTCTGTTGTCGTTCTGTTCTTGCGCTATAACTATCGTCATGTCATACCAACTGGCCCTAACTGCCACATTTATAAGTCACACGAAAGCTTGATTTTCTGGATTGCTCGTGTTGACAACCGCCGCTGACGGTGACGGTAATGTTTTCGCGTTTCCTGAGGCGTCTAATGCTTTCGCCTTAATACGTGGCTGCCAAAAACTGAATGAAGATGTCCACTCCGTTCAAACAGAATCGTGTATTGAGAACATATTTCGGTATATCAAGCGCCCTCTAAATTAGGAGTACTTGGAGGCCTGCTAAATTAACGTCTGTCGCTAGGATTATACATGAGCGCATTCGTAGAGGTACCTTGCAAGAAAGAATATTTCGATTCTCATAAAGAAAACTGTAGTGAGTATTCAAGTAGAGCTGTCGGACTGCAAGTGATTGAGAAAGGATTCTTCTCCGGCCGAGTGACCTTTAGTTTCTGCGGAATGGCAGAAAACGCCTCAGGGTCTATTTCGCTCTGGCGGAGCTTCGGTAGGTAAACACACTTTTCCATCAACTCAAGACGTCCGGAGAGTCCACAAACCCTCGGTAGAGCCATGCCTGAAAAAAAATGCAATAGTCTGCAATAACTGATAAATCGCGATTCAGCTGAGCTATAAGCTAAACGTTTCGGCACAACACGATGCTCCCATTTTGTTGCCATTGAGTGACAGATGCTCTATCGTCTTCAGTTTGCTTCTTTATATCCTTTTGTTGCACGACTCTGTTTTTTTTTTTTCATCAGAAGTACTAGCTCGATCACTGATCAGTCATCTACCTCAAGGTGGGTGGTTGTCATCTTGATGAAACTTCTTGATTCCTCGAAGAACATCGCAAGTAATTACGAAATTCACATGAGAGCTACTGCTAACGTACAATAAAAAGTACACTGCCAGTGCATGCGAAAATTACTTCCGTTGGTTTCTATAACCGCTGCAAAACTGGCATTTTCTTAAGTAGTAGATACTAAAGTGAGCTGCTTTCCGAACCGAACTTCGGGTGATGAAGCTACTTGCTTGTAGTCAAAGAATAGTATTTTTCTCACAATTTATTGGAATGTGTTCCGCTCCTATGGACTTTACAAATGGTCTCACACATGTTCACTGTTAAATATTGCGAGCTACCACACTGACAATACAACAAATTTTCAATCGAAAACTGCGAAAAACATCCAGGACGTTTGAACCTTGCCGTCAAGAGTAGTACTCCATAGCATAACCGGCCTTCATGTGCATCAGCTTCTCAAGTGTCTGCCTGGCTTTCTTTGGTGGTGCTTCGCTGTATGGTGCCGCAAAAAAAAAAAAAAGATTCCCGTGCACGTAACGTTACTCATTGCATGTTATCTTAGAACGCCTACGGCAAGTATAATCAATAAATGCCCGCAATGCTATAATTTTTACTCTTGCAAAACAGCGAACGGCCCAATACCCAGCTATGACCCCGACACGGGATTTTCTGCAAAAGGAACTCTATAACACACCCTCGTTAAAAACAACGAAAGTAAAAAAAAATCGAAAGCGAAAAAAAGACAAAATCGAAAGAAACAGACATAGAAACAAATGGAAAGAATGAAAAAGACAGAAACAGAGAGAGTAATGAAAGAGAAGAAAACAGACAGAGAGACAGAGAAACAAAGATAGAAAGAAAGTGAATAAATTACGAAAAACGTGGCAGGTTGCCAATCTCAGCTGTTTCATCCGGCTTGCCACCACTAGCACGAAGACACTTTGATTTCTGCCTAAGCACTGATAAAAAGGCTCTGCGTAGACACTAGTATTATTTTTCAGTCTTGTTGAAAACGAACCATTCCTGCGATACCATCGAAGACTTAAGACAATGTAATTTTCTTCGTGTAACCCGCATGCCATGCATGCTTGAGGTAACTAAATATTTTTCACACATTTCGAAAAAAAGAACTTGGTGTCCCCTGTTGGGGTTTCACAAGAAAAAAGTAAAAGCTCTTTCATCTCAAATTCGAATGCAGTGCTCCTGCACACCAAGGCTTTTTCATTATTGACGCGATTCGGCCATTATTTGCATATCATGGCGTGTTCGCCATTTCTTTCTGTGCAGGTCTTGCGTCTTATTATGCTCGAGCCTACGTCATACCAGAAAAGTGTTTTCGCTCAGCAGGAACCTGCCGTTCGTTCCCTTCGTAAATAAAACAGTGATCGCCTATTCAGTGCTCAAATTCATATGCACTCTAGAACGGGCCTATGAGATGTGCCGTCTAGTTATTATTTTCCGCCTCCCATTCACGAATACGTCCACAAAGTGCCACATGCCGTGGCATTTCCTTTGAACGCGACGGCCTTTAAAATCCCATTGTGGGGAGCACGGGAACATGCCATATGAAGCCATATATCGGCAAGGAATTCAAGAATCGCTTTTATCTAAAAAACATTTCAAACTCGCACGAGTACAACAACGCGCTTGATGAAAGGCGTTATACGAGACATATGCATTATCGACTCCCCTATGTTTATAAACGTTGTTCAGGCCTTGCACGCGCTACGAAATTTCAATGAAGTGTCGTGATCGTACGGGGCGCTGAATGCGTTATTCATTGGTACTCATGAATGTTTGCTGTCGTTAGTGGAGAGCAAACGGTATTGCAGGAAAGAACAAATATCTACTCGAAAGTTGGGGAACGGGGGCTAGCTTAGAAATGCGGTGAATAAATGTGTGGCTCTTACCACTGACATTTAAGACAACAGGTGCGACCAAACGTTATATACAGCAAAGGAGAAACATATGCCGTTGCGCATCAAGTAAGAAAAAGCTTAGTGCACAAAGTTTCGAGACATATAAAATATTACGTATTACATTGCGGCCTTAACCTAGTTTGAGTGCATCGTATCTATCTATCTATCTATCTATCTATCTATCTATCTATCTATCTATCTATCTATCTATCTATCTATCTATCTATCTATCTATCTATCTATCCTATCTATCTATCTATCTATCTATCTATCTATCTATCTATCTATCTATCTATCTATCTATCTATC